CTAGCGCTCTACCACTTGAGCCACAGCACCACTTCCGGCTTTTTTCTTTTTGCTTATGTGGTGCTGAGGAATCGAACCCAGGGCCTTGAGCATGCAAGGCAAGCACTCTACCACTGAGCCGCCTTCCCAGCCCCGTGCCCATTTTTTTTTTTTTGTGGGAAGTCAGTATACAATGAATTCCCAACACTGAAAAACATGAAAAGCAATCATTGAAATATATCATTTAAAGCAGTATTTCTTGACAATGAGCCCTCCAGCAGGCTAGTTAAATCAAGCTGATCTGCTCTACCCTCTTCTCCAGCCTCACAGGAAGCATCTTCCTTCCCTGAATTCCTCATGTTTCCTCATGCTTCCTATGACAGACTTTTGTACCAGTCCATCCTGCAGCCAGGGTGCTCTCCCCCTACCTTAACCATGACAGGTTCTCCTCATCCTTTGTCACCCTACCTATGGCCAACACTGGGGATCCCTTCCAGGTCTCATCATTTGGTGTGGGACCCTATGAGGATCCTCTTGAACCTTCACTTGCTTTGGTTCAGCATTGGACAGCCTGGATCATCTGGAAGGACAGTTTTATTTTCCTGAATCTTCCAATACACTGGAAAGCCTGAGGGCTGACAACACGGGGTATACTCTGAAGGCTCTGTACTGCCCTCAAGAATACTCTGCTTATGTGTGGAGAATTTCCATTCTCGTAAATGAAGGCCAGAAATTTACTTCCCAGCCTTCCTTGTAGCCAGAGCTCAGACATGTGACCCAGACTCTTCCAATCCTGCGCATTTCATGCCAGGTCTCAATGAAGAAAAGATGTTATATGGAAGTTATGGTGTGATACCAGCAGAAAATGAAGATTTTAGAGGCAGTAGGGATGAGAGCCATCTCTGCTAAGACAGAGTATGAGCTGTAGGGCCCACACCACACTATACATAAAGCCAAGACTCCTTTGGAACAATTCAGAACTGTATTATGCACAATATTTCTGGCTGTGACACCACCTATTCTACCCCTTTGTTGTTGAAAAAATGCTATAAACTACTTAATGTCCTTAAATATCTAATAAGGCCAGGCACTGGTGGCTCACATTTGTAATCCTAGCTACTCAGAGATATGAGGATCAAGGTTCAAAGTCACACTGAGCAGAAAAGTCCATGAGACTCCATTTCCAATTAACTAGCAAACAAATCTTGTCTGAAGACATGACTGTAGTGGCAGAATGCCACCTATGAGCAAAAAAGATGAGCAAAAAAACCCCAAGCTCTAGTACTTGCAAAAAAGATGAGCAAAAAAAACCCAAGCCCTAGTACTTGCAATAAATAAATATGTAAAGCTATCAGAGTAGATTTATTTTTTTAAACTAATATCTAGAACAAGAGCTGGGTATGATGACACATACTTGTAATCCCAGCTACGCAGGAGGCAGACAGAAGAATAACAAGTTCATTACCAGCCTGGGAAAGACCTTTGTCTCAAAACAGAAAGAAAGCCTGGCACCAGTGGTTCACACCTGTAATTCTAGCTATTTGGGTGGCTGAGGTCTGAAGATTGCACTTCAAAGCCAAACCAGGAAGAAAGCCCATGAGAGTTCTATTTCAATTCCCCAGCAAATTAGCTGAAGTGGAGCTGTGGCTCAAGTAGTAGAGCATTAGCTGTGAACGAAAAAGCTAAGAGATCTCTCTCAGGCCCTGAGTTCAAGCCCCCCCCCAAAGACTAGGGGTATAGGCATATATCAGCTTGTAAAACACTTGTTAGAAATCCAATTTAGAGATATATATAGTGTAGGCAGGAGCTAAGCTAGGGTAGGTGAAAGAAAGAGAATTACTTGCTTTAGGCTTCATTCTCGGTGCAAATTTGGGCAAATAATAGCTTTTCAAGCACACTAATGTAGATATGAATGAATGAATGAATGATGTTTCAGAAGAGAACAGTGTCTCTGAAATCAGTGACTATGAGCCTGAGCCCCTTAAGGAAGGGAGTGTACGAGCACCATGGGCGCCTCCCTCCGGCTCCTTCCCAATGAGCACACAGGCAAAGCTACCCCAGATCCCAACACTGATGAAGGTGAGCTGTCCCCTGGGTCCATGGAGGATGCTACTTGAATAACAGAAGATGATCAATTCTTCCCCCGGAGGATGAGCTTGGCGCATGACTTCTCTCACTGCTGCAGGTGGGAGTTAACAAACAGCACTTGACTCATAGTTGTCCTCCTATTAAGAGCTCCAGTGGCTAGAAAGCCAGGGCTTTCCCATGCTTTATGGCTGCCTGTGCAGGTCCCCATCCTCCTCCACAATTTGAAATGAGCTCCTATAAAACAAGGCTGAGCTACAGCCTGACTGGGGCTCCTTTGCTAGGGGCAGTCACTACGCACTGAGCTGCACTTTTGCAGAACTCATACAGCTGGTTGCTTAGCAACAAAATGAGATGCTGGTTTAACTAGCTCAAGACTCACATTTCCCTAAATCAATGCAACTTTAACCCTTTAGTACAGAGACCCTGGCAAAGCCTCAGGAAGAGAGAATCATCATTCATGTGTGTAAAGACAAACACTCATTGTGACTCACACCTGTAATCATAGCTAGTCGGGAGACTGAGACCTAAGGATCAAGGTTCAAGCCTGCTTCAGCAGATAAATCTGAGTCTCTTATCTCCAATTATCCATCAAAAAGCCAGAAATGGAGGTATGACCCAAGTGGCCTTGAGCACAAAAGCCTAGCAAGAGCCCAAGGACAAGTTCAAGCCTCATTATCAAAAAACAAAATGACAAATACTGCTTGAAGCCCTACTGGAAATGCTATGTACCATGGGTGTCAATCAGTTTTCACCTTAACCCATTGAGAGGGCACTAATCTTCAAGTGGAATCCTCCACACACAGAGGCCAAGATCACACCATCAGAGATAAAGTGGGGTTTTGAACCCAGACCCTCAGGCTCCAGATACCAAGTTTTTTTTCCCACTAAGTGCTCTATTTGGTAACACTCCAGCATCTTCCCCTTAAAACAGCCAAAGCAGAAAGTGCATCACAGATAGATGAGCTACAGAGCTGAGCTCCTCATCAATAAATGACCTGAGCCACGCTCTGGTGGCTCACATTCTGTAATCCTAGCTACTCAGGAGACTGAGGTCTCAGGATCCTGGTTTGAAGCCAGCCTGGCAGAAAAGTCTATGAGACTCTTATTTTCAGTTAACCACAAAAAGCTGGACATGGAGCTATGGCTCAAGTGACAGAGCTCTAGCCTTGAAGACAAAAGCTCAGGGACAATGCCCAAGCCTTGAGTTCACGCCCCAGGATTGGCAAAAATAGTAATAAAAATGAGTGATCTGGTTTTGATGCCAAGATCTTTGTATGACTAAGAAGGGATTTTGAGGACCATTCTCTTGGTCCTTGGCCTACCTTCTTTCCAAATCTGGTAGGGTGTCAACCGAATTCTGACTTGACTTGGTGTCATTTATTGACCACCAAATCCCCAGGAACTAGTCCTAGCTCGGGTAGATGAAGGGTTGTGGCTATTTGAGGGGTCTGTTTGGGCAGAGAACTGAGGAGGAAGGATCCACCTCACCTGTGCCCCAGCATAGCCACACCCTCTCACCTGGTCAGGCTCAACCACTGTTACCCCTACAATTTTACCCATGATACTTCTCCCTTCGGGCCTGCAGGTAAGAGACCTATGGTAGGCAGCTGCCTCTTAATTCTCAGTCACATGTTCAGACCCCAACTCCAAAACCAAAGCCAGAGCTTCTACCTGCCTCCCTCTTGGGTCTTTAAAGTAGCTCTGTTCTCACTACGTTTCGCTGTCCAGTTAGGAGGGCTGCACTTTTCTAGAGCAAGCCTTGTTTTTCTAAGCTGAGATTCACTGATCACTTTCTGTCCATCCTCAGCCTTG